CACCATCATCATCATCAACATCATCATCATCACCTTCCTCATCATAATCTCTCAGAATCTCTCGGAAGCTCTCAGAATCTCTCAGAAGCTCTCAGAATCTCTCAGAACCTTTCAGAAGCTTACAGAATCTCTCAGAATCTCTCAGAACCTCTCAGAACCTCTCAGAACCTCTCAGAATCTCTCAGACTCTCTCAGAACCTCTCAGAATCTCTCAGAACCTCTCAGAACCTTTCAGAATCTCTCATTATCTTTCAGAATCTCTCAGACTCTCGCAGAATCTCTCAGAATCTCTCAGCATCTCTCAGAATCTCGCAGAATCTCTCAGAATCTCTCAGAATCTCACAGAATCTCTCGGAATCCCTGAGAATCTCTCAGAATCTCTCAGAATCTCTCAGAGGCTCGCAGTGGCTCTTAGAACCTTGCAGAGGCTTGGAGCTTTACAGAGGCTCCAAAATGGTTGGGATCTCACGCGTCCCACGTGTCCTTGACGGTTGGGATCTGAAGCGTCCGGTTTGGATCTCACGCGTCTGGTTGGGATCTGAACCTTTCTCACAGGCCAACCAGGCTTCAAGAGGCCCGAAAGGTTACAGGTGACTGCCTCCCGTGCCCCCTCGAAAGGTCGCTTCACAAAATGCTGGGCTGGCACGGTGGCGACACTTGCTGCAGGCAGCTCGATAACACTGAAAGGTCTTTAGACCCGCCCCCCTAATAGGGAGTCGTTTTTTTTTCGGCGGCCTTATTGAAGGACTGGGGTCCCATCAATAGGGGGTAACTTTTTTTTCCCGCGGTACCCGCCGCGCAACAACATCAAGGAGGAGGAGGAGGAGGAGGAGGAGGAGGAGAAGGAGGGAGAAGTAGGAGGAGGAGGTTGTAGGACCAGTTCTATTCACCGCCGAGAAGAAAGGGAGGGCCAGTCTAAAAACCTTTAGCGGCTATTGCATACTCCAACGTCCTCATCCGGTTTCGCGCGCGCCAAATAGTGGACGGTGTAAAGAGGCTGCGGGTTCGGGTTCCAGTCGGAGCGCGCCGGCGTCCAGCTGATGTTCTCGCAATCGTCCAAGTGCATCGGCTTCTTCGCGTCGCACGCGCCAGCGCCATCATACGTCTTCTCGCCCACGCACAGCTCGAGCCTCAGCTGCAGCAAGGCTGCCTCGAGCTTCTTGATGGACTCGTCGGCATCGCCTTTTGGCCAGCCGGCCCGCGCCTGAAGCGTCTTCAGGGCAGTGACTCCGGCAAGATCATCGATAGCCTTCTCCATCTTTTTAATCGCATCCGTGGGCTGCGAAGGGTCCTCCAAGCCCTTCTTGAGCGCCTTGATTTTGTTGGCAATCTTGTCGGTGTTGCAACCATCCAATCTGCACATCCTCGTCTGCTCCACCCAGAGCTTCGTGAAAGCCTTGAGATTTTCCTCCTTGAAGTTCCTCATCGACTGGCGTGGTGAGCGGCCATTGTCGGCCATAGTCTGGTTCACGCAGTGGTCGGGAACGTGGTGCAGCACACTGGCCAGCGCTCTGAACATCACCTTTTGTGGGTGGCGGTGCCCCTCGTCTGCGAAGATCACATGGAAGGGGCACTGGCAGTTCTTGGGCAGCGTCGAGACTGCCCCGACCAGGTTGCGCAGCACGCACGCCTTCGTCTCACCTCCGCTCGGCGCGCAGATGGCGATATACTTCAGCTCAGCAGTCATGGAGGGATCGTAATACTTAGGATGCTTGTAGGGGATGAAGAGGCCTGGCAAGTACGTGACTAGCTTCACAGCGAACCCGACCATCAGGGTGAAGACGAACATGTTCACCGCCATGTCGTTATTAGTAGGCGTTTCGATGTCTTCCTGCGACAACTCGTCAAACTTGATGAAGCCGTCGGCGGTGCAATGCTCCAGGGGCTGATCCGTGTCCATGCAGGCGTGCGCGCATCTGCCGGTGACGGCGATGCACCGATCGTTGAAGGGCGGCGGCGCCACGGTCTGCCCGTGAATCATCTCGAAGCTGTCCCTGTAGGTGCTCTCGTTGACGGCGCACGCCACGAGGTACAGCGGGCCGCTCTGCCCGAAGCAGCGGGAGGGCTTGAGGCTGAGCTTGTTCTTCTGGAAGAAGTGCATCTTGTGCCTGCCAACGTCGTCGACGGTGGGCGGCAGGGTCGTCGTCTCGTCGCCGCTCACCTCGGGCTCCTCCGCCCACTGCGCCTCGGCGACGCTGACGGGGAGCGGCTCGGGGTGCGTGATGGGATCGTACAGCTTCGTCCAGGTGCCGTTGAGCATCCCCGCAGGGCCCGCCCCGTCGATGTTCATCGGGGAGGTCAGGATATAAGCCCTGGGCGCGGCGTCGGCCGTCGCGTCGTTGATGGCGGCATCCTTGAGCAGCACCTCCATGCGGGGCAGGCTGTCGTAATAGACCAGCTCGTCCCCCTGACCGCCGGCGCCGCGCATGGCTTCGGGCGTCTTCCTCACGCACTGCCTGCAGGGCCACTTGGGGAAGAGCGCGGACGTCGTGGTGCACTCCTCTCGACGGTTCACAGATGGGGCAATGAGGAATGAGGCCCAAAGTAGAACAGAATACTAAATAGTGTGAACCCGAAACAGTGACTCTCTTGCAATCTATGTGGTGTAAGCTACGTGGCTATGTCTGTGGTGCGAACTACGTGACGTAAGCTATGTGGTGGAAAATATACAGTAAGACCTCCCGTACTCGTCCATGTGGTGTGAATTACGTGGTGTAGGCTATCAGATGAAAAGATGTGGTACAATGTATGTAGTGTAAGCTATTCAATCCAATCGGAGCTAAACAATAGTTTTGGTGTAAGATAGGTGGTACAATCGCTGTAGTGCAGGTTTATGTTAAACATTATATGGTGTAAACTATGTGGTTCACTCTATGTTACGCACTCTAGGTGTTGTAAGCTATGTGGCGCAGGCTATGTGGCGTTGGTATGAGCTACATGGTGCAAGCTACGTAGTGCAGTATGTGTGGTGCACTCTCTGTGGTGCAAAAACAATGTGGTGCAATCTATGTGGTGTACTCCTTTGCATTGCAACTGAATGCGTTGAATTGAATTGGAACCGATTCGATTGCAAGGGATTGCACTCGATTGGATTACTATCGAGTGGATTGCAATCGATTGGAGTGAAATCGTTTGCGTCGCAATCGACGGGGGGGGGGGGGCAACAAGGCGGCGGCGACGGGCGGCGACGGGCGGCCACGAGGCGGCGACGGCAACCACAGGGCGGCGGAGCCGCCGCGCAGGCCCAGGCGACGGGCGGCGAGGAGGCGGCGAGGAGGCGGCGATGGCAACCACAAGGCGACAGACACGCCGCGCAGGCCCAGAAAACGGGCGGGGACCAGGCGGCGGCGGCGCGGCGACGGCGACCACATGGCCGCCAGACCGACGCGCAGGCCCAGACGACGGGCGGCGACGGAACGGCGACGGAACGGCAACGGGGCGGCGACGGCGACCACATATCCGCCAGACCGAGTCACAGGCCCCGCTTTAACACATACTTCAAAACCCCTCAATGAAAGTACTGCTTGGGAAAGCCCCAAGCGGGATGACACATAAATTTTCGGAACTCACTGCGGAATTCTTGGAATCGGCGCTGGACCCCCCTCCCTGGCGAGCAGAGCGCGCAAAGGGCGGCGCCAGAGGCGCCGCCAAAGGGGCCCAACGCCGACCCAATAAGTCTGCGCGGACCTCAGAGAAAGTATGTTTGTGCCGTTGTTTGTTCCCCGACGGGAATGGTGAGGCCTTAAAGGACAGGCAAAGAATCCATCATGAAACCCACCAGCCCTCTGGGCGTAGGTGGTTTAACGGGTGGTGTTTCCTCTCTCTCTCTCTGCCAAATCCCCTCATTCCCCAGCTAAGGGGAGGGGCTTACCCCTACCACTACCCCTTCCCCTGTGTGTGTGCGTGCGTGCGTGCGTGCGTGCGTGCGTGCGTGCGTGCGTGCGTGCGTGCGTGCGTGTGTGTGTGTGTGTGTGTGTGTGTGTGTGTCTGTCTGTCTGTGTGTGTGTGTGTGTGTGTGTGTGTGTGTGTGTGTGTGTGTGTGTGTGTGTGTGTGTGTGTGTGTGTGTGTGTGTGTGTGTGTGTGTGTGTGTGTGTGTGTGTGTGTGTGTGTGTGTGTGTGTGTGTGTGTGTGTGTGTGTGTGTGTGTGTGTGTGTGTGTGTGTGTGTGTGTGTGTGTGTGTGTGTGTGTGTGTGTGTGTGTGTGTGTGCGTGCGTGCGTGCGTGCGTGCGTGCGTGCGTGCGTGCGTGCGTGCGTGCGTGCGTGCGTGCGTGCGTGCGTGCGTGCGTGCGTGCGTGCGTGCGTGCGTGCGTGGGGGGGGAGGGGGGGGCGCTGGTAGTTAGAGCGCCCAAGATGGCCCAAGATGGCCCCCAAAGGGCCATAAATAGCCCACGCTGGCCTCCAAAATATTCCGAGCTACCTCGAGATGGCCCAATATAGCTCACGACGCACATCCAAAACGCCTCAAGACGAGCCCGAGACAGTTTCAAGTGCCCGATGGTCCCTCCAAGGACCCCTCACAAAGAGGCCATCACCCGTCAAAACCCTTTGGGGAATCAAAGTATGGTGCCGTATCGCACTGTTTCCGATGGGTTCTTGGGCCTCAATATGGCCCGATCTGGTACACGATAATACAAAGAGGGGCCCGAGAGGGCCCCAACAGGGCCCCAAGAGCGCCCCAAGAGGGCGTAGAGATATCACAACTGAGCCTCCGAGGAGGGGGGGGGAATTGGGGGAGGCTGGTAGAAGTAGTACTCCAACGACTACGCTTACCACTCCTACGACTACTACTAGTATGTGGGCCCCTCGACCCCCAACACAACCCCAACATGGCCACATCAATACCCCAAGTGGTTCCGCGATGACCTCCGAGAAAAAACTTTCTGCGGCGGTTAGACGGCATGCTTCTATACTCTCCTGATCAAGGCAACCCGCCAGGCCAATTGTTTCTGGATGGGGTGATGGGGATACATGTTTGATCGCAAGCGTAACGGAACCGCCGAACGCCGTCAGAAAGTCGTAACACGCGAGCGACGGCCTGAATTGCGCAAGAGGGAAAGATACTGAAACAACGGGAGAACAGCGGGAAGGAAACAACAGGAGGCGGGCCTCGCTGCCGCTCAGAAATTTGCCTTCGACTGGAAGTGAACCGCGAGCCGGCTGCGACGTCAAAATGGCGGGGGGGAGTTCAGGTTGAACGGCTCCGCGAGCATGCCAGAGAGAAGGCGCACACCGAAGAGCAGATGGCAGGGACCAACGTGCACACCGTCGCGGGAATAGTGGGCGCACTCCACGCATGCCAGCCGTCAACCAGCTCACATGCAGGCGCTCGACGGATCAGAGTCCGGATCGCCAGACACCACCAAAGGCTGGTGTCGAGGTACCGTTCCACGAAGCGGGGAATGCAGACGGGCGCGCACCACCAGGCAGGGGCCGATCCCGGCGAGCAAAACTGGTGGGGATACGCGAAGCGTCCAAGACTTTGCACCATTTGAGGTCCGCCCGACGTTCCTGTAGGCCTACAGCGAAGCGCCCTCAAAGCTATATCATGTTTTCGTTAGTCGGCTAGGTTGCAGCGAAGGTGCCCCGAGGCTCGTATTCACGACAGTCACACACACAAACACCGCCATATCAATTATATCAATCGATGGCATGCAGGATAGCAACAAGCGTGCACAGCAGAGCATATGTGAGCGAAGGCCTTGTGCACGCGGTGGCAGAATCGACTGCAAGAGGGCGCGCGTGGCTTCGCCTCCTGGCAGTCTTCCTGGACCATCGATCTACGCGGTCGCAGTCCGCGACTCTCTGGGCGGGCAGCGGCGGACTGGGCCAATCTGCATGAGCCGATCTTAGCACTTCGTTCTTCGAGAGCCTCACAGATGGACGATGCACCTCGGGCGCTGCCGGAATTCAATCTTAAAAACAGGGCGCGCTGCTGACCCGTCGACGCGCAGTCGGGCTGGGGAGCGGAGTTTCTGCCGCATCCTCTGATGCATCTCCACAGCTCCACTGGCGAAGGAAGCGGGACGCGCGGAGCACGCGCTGCAAACAAACGGCGCGCTCGCGCACTCGCGCGCGCGCCGAGGGCGCGATTGCGCATCGCGCGCAAACGTCGGGAAACATGCGCCCTGTGCCAGATCTCTCCCCGTGCACGCGCCACGCCCTTGCCGCGCCCCACTGCGCGCGATCGGGTTAGGGGGCGAAACGAGGCGGGCGCGCGCGTCCACGCGCACCCAAGATCACCGCATATCTGCGCCAACCAGTCCAAGGCATGCTCGCGGCGGCGGCATTGCAGCGCGGCGCGCTGCGGACCTGGCGCGGACCTGGGCCAGGCGTGCGAAATAAAGATGGCGCTTGCGGAGGAGGACGCAGTCTTGGGATGGGCGCCTGAACGACCCCCGAATCTGGAAACCGTCATAGCTGGACTCGAAAAAATTTGGACATCCTGCGATTCTACGGGGAATGTGCGCGCATTGGCCAGTCCGCGAGCGAAGGCACTGCGGTGTGCTGCACATGGTGTGACCATCGAATGACGGCCGGCCATGCGACGAAAAAGTGACCGGCGAATGCGAGCCAAAGGCTCGCTCAAGAAGCCGCTCGCCCCAATCACTTTACGCGCTATGGGCGCATTCGCGCCCATGATCATTGAAATATCCGTGTCAACGTCTCTCTTAAGACGGTCGTCAGGGGTTGACGCGCACCCTAGGTGCTTGCGTTCATCGACCACGCGCAGCTGCCGAGGAATGGGAAACTAAAGCGACGCTCAAAGCCACGCGCAAGCGTGGCGTAGTGTGCGCAACCCTTCTTGACTCCGTGCGCTACCACGCGCTCTGGCGCCAAACCCGCGCAGTTTTACAGCGGCCCCATCAAGGCACGAATGGCCTGGTTGAGGCGCGCAAGGCAGTAGCCATCAGCGCCAACAGAAGCAGCGTCGACCACACTTCCGCCCGTCGACTGCTGCGCTCGCGCACGGGGGTCGGGGCTCCAGAAAGCACGCTCAGACCTATGCTCTCGCCCCGAGCCTAGCTCAGCAAGTTCAGCGTACAACATGAACCATGCTGTACTGCGCGCGCCATTGAATATCACCGTGCCAAACGCGCAGCCCTGACGCCCACCCGTGAGCGTCTGCGCAAAACAAAAAAAACAGGAACATACATTCAAAAACCGCGCCGTGCGATGTAGCCCAGCGATCAGCTCAGCCGTCTCGGGGTCAACCTGCCGCCGCTGGAATGCTGATCCGCACGAGCCAGGATCTATCATTACCTCTCGCGCGACCCCTCCAGACAGGCCGAGAGGGCAATGGTCGGGAAGGGGTCCCTGCAACTGCGCGTCGTTCGTGCCGCGCGCTAACTCTCTGACTACTCGACCGACCGCTTTCATGAGATCGAGGGACCGCGCGGAAACGCACGCATGTGAAGCTTAGCCGTGCTGTTTCACATGAGGGCCAGATGCGAAGCAATGACCCTGCCACTTTTTGCAGCTGCTCCGCGCAACGTCCTCGG